CTTATGCTGCTTTTCTTAGAGCTCTAGTTTCAGGAAAAATATTGCGTCAATATGTTTTCCGGACCCTATCGGGCCGTCATTTATAGCCTGCGATTGACATTTTCTATTTCGGGAATACTACTTAGCGCGAAATAATAAGTTCATTGTTGAGCTCAGAAAAACATTCCGGGATTATCTGATAGGTAGAATCTGTCCCTAAGTAGTCCGGCCTGCAGCTTTAGAAGTTATCCCATGTTCAAGGCTCAAAGACGGCGGTGCTAAGATCGTCATAAGCCGGGAATACACCAACCATGAATGTTGCCGCACTCGTCTGAGGGAGAGGGAGGGGACTACTTAGATATTTACCTCCATGAAAATAGATGTGACGCTCTGCGTTCATAGTGTATAGGAGCGATTTTTACCTTTGCGCCCTTTATCCTCTTTCATCTTTTTTTTCTCCAGTCTCTCGCGCAAGCAGTAGTGCCTCGCTCCTTCAAATACCGGTCCAATCATGATGCGTTATTCTGGGCGTTTTTGTGATAATTTTCACTCTTTTCTTGTCTAAATTTCAATATGTACAGTATCATAATGTTCTGCCATTACATATAATTATATTAGCCCCACTGGGATGGGAAAATTCTTTGCCGTAGGTCAGTCCCTTCTTTTAAGATTCGGCAAGCATTCTGCTCCCATGCAGAGCCGTATTTGCCCGTTGAGTACGATGTGACTTATACAATGACTGACGAAGGCTAGCTGGTGCCCAAGGTGCCCAAGCCAGTTCTTGCCCTTTCGTAATAGATGAATTTGGTAGCAACTCACCGTGTCCGTAGAGCAGAAGGTTTTGTTAGTCTAGGACGGAGCCAATCCGGCCGGACCGTGGGCGTGGTAAGCGTGCCACTTTTCACTACAGAAGTCGCGCTTGACCCCTGTCAGGTCAAATAAGTAAGGAACACCTTTCTTGATAGAGTTTTCTCAAGTATCGTCAATGTTGGAGTTTCCAATTAGAAACGCGCTGCCGGCGGGTACCCACTCCCAAGCAACGTATGCGTTCAACAGACGTACAAGTATCTCCTTTCGTCTAATAGTTCCGTATTCAGCTTATTTTTTCTGGGTTTCTCACTTCTCTCTGCTTCAGTTCACTCTCATTCCTTCCTCCTATATTGTGTTTCTATTTTTACCTCAAAAGCGAAATTATTGAAGTCTCCAAGAGAGGAGGTTGAATTACCATTATTATTTCATTGCAAGGCCACCATGCTGCCAGCAAACTCAATCAACTAGGCACAGGGAGCGTTCCTGCAACACGTTCCAAGTTTCGCTTTACCAACTTCCTCTCTCACCTTCAGTACAATAAGCGTTCATGGCAAAACCGAAAAGGAAATCGGTCGTGAGGCACCCCATGCGGTTCTAAGAGGTTACGGTAATTTTCAGGACATTTTCTCATATTTCTTTTCTCAGTCTATTTTCCGACTTGACTTCACTGAATAGAGATTGAGTATGCTATTTCAAGCTGCAGCAATTGATAGCTCCTAGAAGGCCGTTCCGGTACATGAAAGATTACTGGAGGGTAAATGGTACTGGGTTGAGATAGCGCATCCAATCCAGCGAGTACAGCCCCGTCAGTTCTCTTCCAATCAATAGACTCATAACTAAGAGTCCTAATGAGGCCCTGAGGCTAGATCAACCTGCACCGCACAACATCTGGCAGAGGATAAACACCACATATTTATGCATCAACTTAATGGGTAAACGATTTATTAGTATTGATTGCGCGGCACATATCCCCATGATGTAGCTTGACGCATGTGCTCGGCAAAATTTTCGCAAAGTTGTTGGATGTAGGGCCTTGGCCTTTAATGGTCCCATTCGTTTGTAAGCCTTATCGACTCGAATTCTGTTTGCCACGTTTCTCCAGTATTGACATTTACTGAAAGGTCTCATGTCGCTCTCTCCTCCCTTCCTTCATATTTCGGTTTATCCTCTCAATCTGGTTATCTTAGTTAGGCTCTCTCACATGTTCCTTCGTAGTTCGACTCTTTTCTCCATTCTAAGGCGTAGGATTCCTTGCTAGAGATGGCAGTTGCGATCCTATGAAAAGTAGGAGAAGGAATTTGAGAACGAACGCGTCAAAAAGAAGTGAACGGCCATATCTCTTGACTGTGGGGTAGATAAGGCTGGGAAAGGCGCGCTATGGTCAATGACAATGCGTCGGCGTAGTAAGAGCGAGTTGTCTCCTGCATTTGAGTTTGATGTTTAAATCAGTCGCGATTCAGATTTGAACTCTACTTCCACGTGAATTTATTTGAAGTAAACGGACCATAGCCGCACTGTGCGACACGACGTCTCGCCCTAGCACACCGATCGCTGCGTGAAAAGCGGTTGTGGAATTTTGGCCGTCTTGCGCCATTTCAAGACAAAGCATCTTGACGAGTATTCGTCGAGTCATGCTCATGTCGGCCGCATAAGTAAGGCTGCGATGGATGTGGCCGCATATAGCATGGAATTTTTAGGATGGAGACGATAGGATATTCAATATGCGTTGTGGTTGATGTGACATTGTGGGCGACTTTTTGTAATGGGGGGGCTTTTCCTATGAGTAGGTTCTTGGAAAGCTCCCTCGGCCATGAAAGTATTCACATTTTTGCTTCGCACATGGCTTCCCTTTCATCAGGCGTTTTTAATCCCATTATAGATCAATACAGGTGCTTAGGTCGAGTGGAGAGACATAGCTACATGTGAAAGTACGAGGTACAATATGAAAAATCGTTCTAGCTGAAATTATATTTATTAGTGTAGGAATGGGTGCTGTTCATGAAAAGCGGAGAAGGTGGTCATTGGAGTAGTGGCGGGTCAGCATAAAGCCGATACTATATGTGAAGAGAGGTAAAAAACCCGTCTTCGGTGCATATGCTTGTGTGTCACATGTGTTATTCTCTTTGGCATTCTGAGGCAAAAACTCAGACATGGTCACATTTAAGGGCAGTTGGCACGATGGTTTCCCACTCGGTCTAAAATGCTAGGGTGCTGTATGTGGAATGGCGAAAGAACGGAGTGAAACGAAAATCTTGCGAAGAAAAAGCCTCCGTTCTCAGTGACTTGTAAATCGATTTCGGACGAGTTTCCCGTAGGCATCTTACCAATCACCGCTACCGAAGATACGGCTGCATATGTGTACCCATATATGCATGCAGCATCACGGCCGCTTCATACCAATCCCTTCGCTTCATAATTTGCTTAGCAAATGAATGAATACGAGCGTCAGGAACGGTCGTCCATTTGTGGGGGCGGCATGGGGGCGTTTGGTCGAGTTGTGGCTTGATAGGGCCTTATAAAGGACACCTTAGTTTGGAGAGTCGCTATGGCGGCGCTGCTTAAGGTCGGAATCCCATTCTGCCGGGTTTGCTGCTAGACGCCTTGAAATTTATGTGCCAGTTGCCTTTAAGGAAGCTGCCTAGCCTCAGATACTCTACATTCTTTTGTTCCAAGACCATTCGATTTGTTGAGCACACTGATTAATTCCTTGCATAGTTTTCTGGTTCGAAGGCAGAGTCCAGATTGTCGTATGGGGCGCATTTGTCTCGGTGCCGGGCAAAGAATTATCCCTAGTCGCGGCTATTTTTGTGTATTGTCTCACCACCTTCTGTCGGCTGTGAAGCTCACCATAACCATTCTCCTTCCACGGAAATTTGGCCCCTAAACATATTTACTTTGCTGTGTTCGGTGGCTATGGACCGGTGGGTCTTTTAGTGGCATGTAACAGAGTTTCGCAAACAGGAAATACATTCCCGATGGTCACGTGAGCTTCCGTCAAAACGATATAACGGGTGGTAGGGAGCACGCCCGGTCGGATTTGAATTTTGATTACTTATTTAAAATTTACTGCGCGTTTTTACTTAAAATCCTCGTCTTATTTCGTTTCACCTATGATATTAGGTTGGTCTATTGTTTACGAAACTCCCTAAACGTTTTGTATATTACTTTTTGAACACCCAGTTCTCATCGCATTGATTACGTCTGGTGGAAAATCGAAGGTGCTGTGAAAGTAGACAGGAAAGAACGATTTCAAGTCATGTTTGGGACTGGTGAGGACTCGTCACATATGGAATTAATCCTCCTCAGCTTTAAATATTTTTCTGGTATTGGTGGAATGTCTAACGGTGATGATTATAATGACGGGTCAGTCTGCCGAATCTCTCAGTGGAGTCGGCGTAAATTGAACGAGATTCGTGGAGCAGACAGTGCGAGCAACTCGACTAGAAAAGCAGGTTGAATGGCAGCTCCTCGGTTTATGCAGTACGGTGGTGCGGCATGGATTGGACAGAGCTGTCTCCTCTACCGTCTAGTAGGTGATGCTGGTTCATGCACGTTGCATGTTAAATGCGCTCGTGGAAATAAGGCTCTCGAAAGGCATGCCTGAATGTAACGAAGAAGCAAGAAGTGTAGGCAAGAAAAGCGACTGAATAGGCTCGGCTGAATAGCTGGTAAACAGTTCACGCCACATAGCGAAACATATCTCGTAGCTTCAAAGGCACTTTCCGCGATAAGATAAGGGTATGGTCTCTCATATGTGTCAGATCATCCGGAAGGCTGTTCCGGAGGGTGTGCCATCTTCAAAAAGGGGGCAAGAACTTTGCTGAAGCTGACCAATTAGGCCCATGGGCACCCCTTAGGCCCATGCCGACCCCCACCGGCTGCTAGCTACTAGCTAGTAGCCACTATGCTATCTCTCCGAATGGTGAGAGTGAGGTGATAAGATAAAAGAGCTGATATCTTTATGATAACGACGAGTGGAAATTCGTACAAACATGCGTTTTCTTCATTGCATGCACGTACAAGTTGGGGTCGGCATGGAGTCCTATTTAGGGCATTTTGGACTGTTTTTCTGCTCTTTTCTCCACTAATCAGTTACCTAGCACTTTGTCGTTCGTATTTGAGCTCCGTTACCAGCAATCTGTGGTTGCGAGCTCTGCCTTTAGGACTTTTTGAAGAATTTACAGCTTTCAATGTAAAGTATTCTGAGGACCATGGACCAACTAATATGGCTACTCGATATGGGTACTTTGTTGCTGAACACGTATATTTACTCAGGTACTACTGCAGACGTCGTCAGTATGCGTTTTTATTATTTGTTGATGCTACTATGTGGCCTCATATTCTGCCATTCATCGGTGAACGCTCAATTTGGATGGCGATGTGGTTATGTCGGCGGTTGGTGCGGCAGTGAGAAATGGAGAGGACGTGAAACATATGGCGGTTGGTTACACATAGCAGTTATACTGTAATAAAACAAAGCCAAGAATACAGATTGGAAAAAGGATAATAAATGTGCAGTAAAAACGCATACATCATGAATAACAGTACAGTAATAAAACATCAGGGCACGCCATGCGATGAGAATCCCCAGCCGAGGGAGGAGGTGATACTCGGTTGCTAGAAGGGAGGAGATCGTATTTGCCTTTGGGAAAAACGTTTCCAATGCTGACTTTTCTCGCTTTCTCGGTTTTTCCTATTTCATGTGCTCTATTTAACCTCTACCCCACCACTGAAAAGGCATCTTTTTTGATGGAGGAAATGGACAATTCTTCTGGAAAAGCAGTTGAAGTTGGGAGAAATAGAATAGAAGAGCGCAGTCCATACCAGAGGAGGAACGTTGAGGGAAGATTGGGAGGGAATGTATTTTTCAAAAGTTTCCACAACAGAAGGAGGTGCCCTGGTCTGCAAATGGTAGGACGTGGAACACGGCGTCGATATGAGCACACCCAGGCAGGTTTTCCCCGCCCTTTGTAACGGCCTCAGGATGCATCAATGGTGGAAAAGCCGCCGTGACTCTGTTCATTCCACTCATTGTCGTTAGCAGGATTCACTAGCGTAGTCTTCTCTGAACTGCGAGACAGTGCTGGAACGGTAAGAGGCGTTCACGATGGTAGCGGAGTCAGAACTAGCATTCTGCCCTTCCTTATCACATCGCTCAACCTTTTCACTTGTAAGAGGGGAGGAGAATATCATAGGCCTGACCCCTCTACCACACCAACAATCAGCGTAGATGGTACCTTCAAAAAGAAAGGGTACCTGAATACTTTCGCCCAACAACTTTTAGTATTTCGAAGCTGTCCAAAAGTTGATCTAGGTACTCTGAATATCAGACTCAAATCCTCAAAATTTTTTAGGTTCAGGTTTCCGATCAAAAGCACGTCTTATGGCTGCTTTGGCTCGCTCGGTCAATGAAAACTTGGTTGAGTGATGATTGTAAGCATAATCGCATCAGTTATAGCCTTTTATATTTTGGCATTGCTTCCTCATCCCTCGTTTTTTTCCAGGTTAGCAGCTGACGCAGCATCATGTGAGACCGTGAATCGTGCAAGATGTGCGACTTCTAGTGGTGAAGAGGCCTATATGCGATATTTACTTCGGTTGATTATTTGCACTAATGTAAAGACATTTCCGTTGAAAACAGCAATAAATACTGACATTCGTTGCACTTATTGGACTGTTTCAATCGCGGCACGTCGCACGCCTGGGAATCTTCAGCAGTGGGGGGATCTACTGGTCACTAGAGGAAGGATAACCAAAGGTATTCAAATAGGAAAATGCCAAAGCATGGTATTCCGGGGTGTTCGGTCTATGTAACCTTCAACGGACAGATTACTATCCGTACCGGAAGTCCTCCAACTATTCGATGGTTCCTCTATGGCGATCTGCCATGGTTTTCATGTCTTCTTTTGACGTTCAGTTACTGGATCTTTTTCGCGCCT